AGCTGTGGTGAGAGTGAGCTGCAGTGCTGTATGAGCTGTGGTATGGTGTGAGCTGCTGTGAGAGTGAGCTGCAGTGCGGTATGAGCTGTGGTGTGTGAGCTGCGGCACGGTGAGTGTGAGCTGCAGTGCAGTATGAGGTGTGGTGCAGTGTGAGCTGCGGTGCGGTATGAGGTGTGGTGCAGTGTGAGTTGCAGTGCAGTGAGAATGAGTTGCAGTGCGGTATGAGCTGTGGTGTGGTGTGAGCTGCGGTGAGAGTGAGCTGCAGTGCGGTATGAGCTGTGGTGTGTGAGCTGCGGCACGGTGAGTGTGAGCTGCAGTGTGGTGAGAGTGAGCTGCGGTGCGGTGAGTGTGAGCTTACTCAAACAATGCTGAGTGACAGCGGGCAGGCACAGAGACTACACCCTGTGTGACTTCATGCATCCGAGCACAAAACTGGGCAGGAAAGTGGCCACTGCTGGGGAAGGGAGGAGCTAAGAGGGGCGCCGAGGGGGCTCATGGGCGCTGCTTGATTTGGGTGTGATTCCACGAGTATGCTCAGCTTAAAACTTCACCAAGCTGTACATGTATGATGTATACACTTTTCTACGTGTAAGTTATACCTCCAATAAGATAAAAACAAAAAGAACCTAGTGTGTGGTCCACGTCAGTTATCCCCGGCTTGTCCTGACACCCCAACATGGTGAAATCATTCCCAAATGCAGAATATTGATTCTAGTAGTTTAGCATAGATAGAGTAAAATCCTTGAAAAGATACTTGGCAAAGATACCTGGCACGGAAACCTAAGTATCCGTTTAGAAAGAGCACACACGCAAATAGAAACTGCATTATTTCATAGAAAAGCAGATTGTCCTGATCTCTTAGAAGTACTGAGTGAAGTCAGCTCGGAGTACAGAAAGGCCAGTCTCCCGAAGGTTTCCAAATATCTGTTTGCGGCAACAGACCCATAGCTCTTCGGAAGAGCGCAGGCACTCCGGGGCCACTCTGGCAGGTGGAGGGTGGCAGGCGGCGTCTGTGAAGGTTTGCCACTCTGCAGGAGACCCTGTCATTGCCCCCAAGGTTTGTGGTCCAGCAGGGAGGGCGGGAAGGCCTTTGTCTAGAAGCCCAATGTTGATGCCAAGCACATGGGGGGAGCTGGCTTCGGCCTCATGGTTTAAAATGCGGGGCGGTCTGCAATGCCCTTGAAAATGCATGAATACAAAGACGGGGCAGAAGTAAGTGGTGGGCATGGGGTGCTCACTGTAAATTTCTTCCAGCTTTGCTGTAGGTTTGAAAATTTGCACAATCAAATGTTACCAAAAATCAAGCAATAAGGGGAGGGTAACAGAAGATTATAAAAGAGAAGAAAGCCCTCTGAAAAGGCCGTTTTCCCAGTAATCCCATCCGTGGGGACATGTCAAAATCATCTGAGGAGTTAAAACACCCCACACAGGCACACCACACACACTTCATGCACACCCACACACGTGTGCACATGCACACATGCACACCCAGGCTCCTGACTGCGTGTGTTAGAAGCTTCCCCGACGGCTGTGATGTGCACTAAAAGTTAAGTCTGGGCAGTGGACGGAACCCTTCCTGACCATCGGTGCCTCCGCCCTGGGCTGGAGGGTGACGCTCTCACATCAGTGACAGCCGGCTCTGGGGCAGTGGCCTGCACATGAATTCCCAAGGGCCCTGTGCTGGGCTCTGTCCAAAGCACTTTTCCTACATTAACTCACTCTGTCCTCCCAGCGCCCCTGGGGTTGGAAACCACCGTAATCCCTCCCTTAAATGAGGAGACCGTGACACAGGAGGCGACCAAACTTGCCCTCGGTGGCACAGCTAGGCTCCGTGGCTCTGAGGCCTGATGCGGTGGTGTCTCAGGCACGGCCCCAGCGGGAGGCGGGGATGCTGGTCCCCTCCGGCCTCTGCCCAGGCTGCCGCCCCCCGATCCCCGGCCTCCCCATGTCTACCGCACGTACTGATTCCTCCCTCGCATTCTGCGTGCATGTGAGAGGCTCCTCTTCCCTCACAGGTTTCTGGAGGGCAAGGCCTCTGTCTTATTTATCTATTTTCAGACTTGACGCCTCACATAAGGCAAAAGCTCATTAAGAAACCACGAGGGGATCCAAGAGAGCTGCTGCGAAGGCCCGGGGCCACCCTCACTCGCAGGTGCTGTGACTAAGCCAAGATTCCGCCCTAGGTAGCTCGGCTCTCCAGCGCCCGTGCAGTGTGGCTGGGGGCAGAATGCCCCTCCAGGGCTCAGCACCAAACCCTCTGTGGGGCACTGTCCCACAGGGCTGAGTCAGAGGACTGGGGGAGATCCACAATGCGTCTGTGGCGAAAAGGCCAGAAAGTGTAACATGATCACCACTCACAGGGAGCGCGTCTGCATTAAGAAAAGCGGATCTGTAATAGCAAAATTTAGACAGGATTGTTTTAAAAGTTCATTCTTTCAAAGTCTAACTTTAAACCCTGGTTGACTCGATGTTTTAAACTCTGGCAACTACCTTACCCAGGCAGGTAAACAAAATCTCTGACACCCGAGAGTCCTGGGCGCCACCCCCAGTCTGGGGGCTTTGAAGTCCAGATGCCCAGAGAAGCGGCTGCCGCCGCAGACGCACAAGACGCCCTTGGAGGGACTCACCCGAAACGCAGTGCCTTCCTCGATGATCGTCGGCAGCTGGGACAGACAGATGTCGACAGCCAGGTCCCAGGCTTGCCTGCGGAGAGAACAAAGGAACACCCACTGAGCATTGTGGACGGGCTTCCATACGAGGCCACTTCACGGGGCACAGGAGGAGCCAGCTGAGCGTGGGCAGCAAGGGTCTGGGCAGAGGCCATGGCAGCTGCTGGGCGGCATGTTTACAGTCTCACTGCTGCTCAGCCTCGGGCTGTAGAAGACGTCCGAGGGGAGGCCAGGGGAGAGCGCAGGCGGGAACGCTGGTGCTGCCAGCATTCTCACCATTTTGTTTGTCACATTTTTTCTCTTTAAAATAAAATGAGAAAAACGCCTGGGAAAAAGACACGAACGCTTCCCATTTTCTGCTGTGGCTTCTGACTGTGACTTGAACCCAAGTAGCAGCAGCCCATGTATTCCAAGCAGCTGTGGTCCCTGCACAGGCTCTGATGGGGCAGTGTCCTGGAGGGATGTGGGAGAGACACCGGGGCCAGGCCAAAATGCCTCATCAGGAGGGGTCAGCGTGCAGTCAGGGAAAGCGGTCCTGGCAGTCAGGGCTGAGCTCTGTGCTATGACGGTGCCGTCGGGCCCATCCCCGTTCCTTCCCTGCCTTCCCTCCCCTGCTCCCTGGTGTGTCCACACCTGCTCAGTCAGTCCCTGCCGCCTCCCCATGGTTCTCACCAGGCACCCTGCAGTCTTGGGGTCTCCTCCCATGCATGGAGCTGCTCCCCGCAAGCCACAATGACTCCACAGACCACCCGGGTGATGTGCTTCCCCTGTCGAGACCCCTTGTCATAGTAACCGACCACACTGTCCCTCTTGGACATTACGAGGCTTTCTCCTCCGGCCTCCCTCCCATCACAGTGAACACGAGACAGCCTCCTCCCTGGGCTCCCGACCCCGTCCTTCAGGGCCGTGCCGCTGCAGCTTCCACAGCCCTCTCCTTGCCTGCTCTCATCCTTGCTCAGGGCGCCCACTGCCACCTGCTCACTGACACCCTCAGACACTATTTAAAACAGCCTCACACCTCTCTCCAGAGCTCCACACCCCGATTCTATCGTAGGACCAGCCAGCAGTTTGAATTGGACCTAACACCTCCAGGCCAATTCCTGGGATTCCCAGGTGTAGGCAACAGCCTTACGGGGCACCCCCAGCCACCATCACCATCGCCACCTTCCTAATGTGGCCTTGCCAGAGTCTCGGTGTTGTCCGAACAGCCCCCTCCCAATGGGCTCCTCTGCCAGCACCTCCGTCCAGGCCAGCTGCCCTGTGAGCTTTCTCGGAGGCTCTAACACGGCACCCCTAAGCCCTTCTGTGGCTCTGGCCTTCTTGTGGTACCCCAGGCCTGGCACACCCCAGCACCTCTGCCATCTCCGGCCCTGTGGTGGAGGGACAGCAGCTGCCTCTGACTGACCCCTGCTTTGTGTCAGCTGCTCTACAAGGACACTGTGGGGGAGACACGATTGTGAGACCGTTTCATCCCAGAGAGACAGAGCCACGTGCCCAAGGCCACAGAGCCACACGCTGAATTACAGACATCCCGCAGGTGCCCTGGCATCCAGCCGTACCCAACTTCTTTCCCAGTGCCAGGCACATAGCCGGCTTTCAAGCAGCATTGGCTAAATGAGTGGGGGCGAGCAGGAAAGCACCCTCTGTGTATGAGCAGACCCGTGTGAGTTTCGAAAAGGATACAGGGAAGAAAAGAAGGTCTGACCGCGAGCCACGAGCCTGGACTCTGCTCCCAGCTCTGCTGCCCACTAGCTCCGGCCTAGGGAGCGGCTGACCTGCCTGCCTCGCCGCCTTGTCCAGAGGATGAGGGCCTGGCCAGGGAGCCCGTGTGGGAGGCCGCTTGGTGAAATTCAGCGTGTAGCTCTGGGGCCTTGGGCGCGTGGCTCTGTCTCTCTAGGATCCGTGTCACCATCTGTGAAATGGACTCATGATCATGTCTCCCTCACGGGGTCCTTGTAGAGCGGCTGACACAAAGCAGGGGTCAGCGAGAGGTAGCTGCTGTCCCCCCACCACAACATCCAACATGAACTCTAAACTGGAAGTGAATAATCACCTCACTCTCGGCACGGCCACAGAGCACAGTCTTGATTTCCACGGATACAGGTTGAATATCTCTTTTCTAAAATGCCTGGGACCAGAAGTGTTTTTGGATTTCCGATATTTTCAGGTTTTGGAATATTTGCATATACATAATGAGATCTCATGGGGACGGGACCCAAGCCTAAGAGCAAACTCCATTTATGTTTCATATACCTCTTACACACACAGCCTGAGGCGAATTTTACACAATTTTGTGCATGAAATAAAGTGCGCCTGCGAGGTCGGGAGGGGAACTGTCCACCTGTGGCAGCACGGTGGCCCTCACAGAGTTTTGGATTTTGAATCATTTTGGATTTTTGAATTAGGGATGCTCAACCTTCATGGTAGGGATGGAGGAAGGACAGCAACCCCTTCAGCCCTACTCTCCCTTTCTGCTAGAAATACGTTCCTTGTGGAAACCCAGTGACGGTCAGTATCATGGATTCTGCTTCTAGCACTGCGCTCTCTTCTCCTGGGTAATTTTCTAAGAGACTCTAAGAGAGTCTAAGAGACTAGAGAACTCTGTGTTATTTTTTAGGCTAATGACACTCCGTGCTGCCGTGTCAAAGGGCATATTTTTTCAATGTCTTAGTAAAGGACCAAAATGAGAATGAAAAATGTTAAAATCCAGAAAAAAAGTAAAAATTTAAGATGAACAAAGGGACTAAAGAACAATTTTTCACTTTCAAATATATGAAATATATTTCAATTTTCCCAAGACTGGCCCTCTTTGCACAAACATGCCCTTCTCCTGCCAATAGAGTTAAGAAGCAATCAGGAGATAATCAAAAGCGCCTCAAAGTATGTGCAATAAATAGCTCCCACACGCCCCGTAAATCCCCAGCTGCGGGCAAATGGCATTCAGCAGCACCGAGGGAGACCTACTCTCTCAGTAAAAGAAGCAAAGCCAATTATTGCAATTACACTCTATAAAGATGCCTTGAATTTAATCAAATAAAAAGTTTCTGCTTCAGGAGTTAGAAGAAAGTATGTACAAGTTAGGGGAGGTGGAGGCGAGAGGAGGGCAGAGAGGGTGTCTGGGCTGTGGTCCGACAAGACCAGCATGGCGCCCAGTGTGGCCTCGGTCAGTGCTGGGCGGGGCACCTTTGGAACCGTGCCTCCCGAAAGCCTATTTGCACGCTCTCCAAGGCCTTCGCTTGGCGCTGAAGGCCTGAACTGCACTGGAGACAAGGCTCAGCACACCGGACAGGATACCGCCCAGCGAAGCTGTGTCAGAGCCACGGGTGACAATCTCTCTCGGACTCGTGACCCATGTCGCTGCAGTGGGACGCTGTGCTCCTAAAAGGCTGACAGCCCACCCGGATCCAGCCCGGGGGTGGGAGGCGGGGATTGACCCAGCTCCACATTTCACAGACCAGAAAAGCAGCCCCAGACGGTTCTGGTTTCACTGATGCACAGAGGCTCAGGAGGCTGCAGGGATGAGACAAAGCCCAGGAGGGTAGCTTGGCGCCTGGACGATGCTAGGAGGCTGCTCAGTGACGTCTGGCTACCCAGGGCTATGGACTCGAGGCAGAGCTGTCTACATGAGACGAGGAAAAGAACTTTGTTCAAGTACTAATGAGAAGAAAGGATGTAAAAGAACACCTACAAACTGCTGAAAGACAAATGCTGGAACCCGATTATTAGCATACAGTGAAGCGGCCCTGAACCTCAAGCTACGGCTCAGCCTGGGCCCAAAGGACAGCCCCACTCAGAGCAAGGCAGGGAAGACGAGGTACTGGGAGGAGCTCAGCCTGGCACTGCCTGCTGAGCAAGCCAGGGGCTCTCTCAGGGCCGTGGGCGGTTTATTTATTCATTTAACCAAATTAAAGGGCCAGATTAGATGACCATAGGGCTCCCATTAAATTCTAAAATTGCACGACAACCATTTTTTTTTTTTTTTTTGAGATGGAGTCTTGCTCTGTCACCCACGCTGGAGTGCAGTGGTGTGATCTCGGTTCACTGCAACCTCCGCCTCCGGGTTCAAGCGATTCTCCTGCCTTGGTCTCCTGAGTAGCTGGGGCTACAGGAATGCGCCACACGCCTGGCTTTTGCATTTTTAGTAGACACGGGGTTTCACCATGTTAGTCACGCTGGTCTCCAACTCCTGATCTCAGGTGATCTGCCTGCAGTGGCCTCCCGAAGTGCTGGGATTATAGGCGTGAGCTACCGCCCCCGCCTGCACGGCAACCTTTTAAACAGCAGAACAATGGTATTCTCTAATGAGCATTTATCTGTTGATTCAAACTGGCTGCATTTTCTAGAATAAAATCAACACAAACTTGCAGCTCTAATTTGGGACTCCCAACTAAAGGCAAGTGGGAAAGTGGGTCCCGTGTACACATGAGAGACCATGGTGGTGGGCTTCGGGAGCGGCCAGCCCTGCGAGGTTTGGCAGCACACGACAGCAGAAGGTGGGAGGGGACCGGGAAGGTGTCTGGATTAGCACTTCCCACAGCCTGCGATCACGCCGCCTGGAGACGCAGGGCTGGAGGGCTGGAGTGCAGATCTGAGGGGAGGCTGTGATTAGCTGTGACCAGCTCATCTGCATCGTGGGCTCCGCCCCGCCGGCAGCTGGGGGCAGAGGGACTTTCTAAGCTGTTGGCTGCTCTGATGAGTCACTCGCCTGGAAAACATGTCATCCAGGCAAGAACTGGGTTTTCAGGAAACAGCCCTGAGATGGCGGGCGCCCAGGAGGTGGGCTGGAGGACAGCCGTCCAAGTCCGCACAGCCTCCATCTGCACTTATCAGTCAGAGAGCGGCGCCCGCCCCGGGAACAGAAAGCACAGGTTATTACCGCGGAGAAACGCAAGGTTTCAGGACCCCTGAAATTGAAAGTGAAGGAGAATGACTCCCCGATGACTTTGCATCAAAAATTAAACAGGAAGCAGGCTCTGAGTAGTCATCACTGCTGCCGCGGCCTGAAGCGAAGTGTAAATGCAGATTACTTTGTGT